TCGTGAGCAATTCTGCCTGAATGCAGCGGTGCAGCGGAGTATGTGTGTGTCAAATTGGTCGTCCCTTTTGACGCCTCTTTGCCAAAAACAGGACCCCTATAAAGCCAAGAGGCGTGTCCTTCCGTGAAAACGAGTCCCACAATGACAAAACGTTTCCCAAGTTTGTTGTGCCGACCTCTTTTGCCAAAAACAGGACCCCTGTAAAGCCAAGAGGCGTGTTCTTCCGTGAAACGAGTCCCACACTGACAAAACGTTTCCCAAGTTTGTTGCTCCGACCTCTTTGCCAAAAAGCAGGACCCTGCAAAGCCAAGAGGAGTGTTCTTCCGCGAAAACGAGTCCCACAATGACAAAACGTTCCCAAGTTTGTTGCGCCGACCTCTTTGCCAACAACAGGACCCCTGTAAAGCCAAGAGGCGTGGTCTTCCGTGCAAACGAGTCCCACAATGACAAAACGTTTCACAAGTTAGTTGTTCCGACCTCTTTGCCAAAAACAGGACCCCTGTAAAGCGAAGAGGCGTGTCCTAAGTTAGTTGTTCCGACCTCTTTGCCAGAAAAAGGTACCCATGTGGAGCCAGGCGGCGTGTTCCTGCGTGAACACAATTCCCACAAAGGGAACCCTTTTCACGATGGCTGCGAAGGCCGTCTTGCCATCGCCTTGGCATTGGACTAGAAACCCAAGCAGACTTGACCCCCCCAAAACAACCAAGCCCAGGGAGGGCGATTCTGGTTTTCTTTGTCAGCAACTTCGTTCAAAAGCCAAACTCCTTGGACAGGCCCAAGCGGCAAACGCTGAGATCGCACAGGAAACCAACGTTGAACTCCTCCAGAAGCTCTTGCACCTGAGGCTAAAAGGCAAGTTTGGGCTGATTGACCCAAAGTGATAGCCAATAATAAGTCAGAGTTTCTGCTTCTTGCGGGAGCCCGTGGTATGCCACAGGTTCCTTGTCCGCGTCATGGCGGCGTCCTCCAACTAAATTTTAAATGGTGGTTTTGCTTTGTGGCTGTTGAGCGAATTGCCGCGCCTTCTTTTTCGGTCACTTCGGCGACCTTGCCACCCACAGGGACCCGGTTGGCCTTGCCGAAAAGCTCCTTTTTCTGAGCAAGGGGTAGAGACCAGCAGGCGTTCTCATCCTTAGATTCAGAAGCCCGGAAATGGGAGGAGGGGGCCAAACCAACATACTGATACATCCAAGCTGCTGTCCAGTCGGGGGCAAGAATCGGGCCCAGGCAATCCCCTCGATTGCTTCCGGTGTAAACCTTACGATCCTTGTGAGTGAAGGCTTGGGCGTCTTCCCCGCCAACCAGGTACAGCCTCTCAACTTGGCTCATAGGGGCGCCCCTGTCCTTCAACCGCCTTTTTCGCAAACTCGCCTCATCCCACATCAAGTATTTGGTTGTCTTTGTCTTGACGAGAGGTTCGTTCGATGGTGTCCGGAGAGCTCCCAAGAGATTCGATGACAAGCCTAAGTAGCTCAATGTCTGAGAAGGTGTAGCCAAATGTGTCTAAGCCCATGACTAAGCAAAATAATAATAGTTTTGCAACCGAAGCTCCTTCGCGGCCCCCATCCAGAATCGCAATGGCGTCAGTCGGCCGCAGGTGGTTGGTGTTGCTTTGTAGCCGAACTGCAAGAGCTGCTTGAAACAACTTATGGTGTCGACCCTCTCGTAGCGGTGGCAAGCGAAGATGGGCTTGCGTCAAAGCCTCTCCGCACACCTTTGTGTCCTCAGCTAGCGTTACCGCAAGTCTTGCAGTTGTTGGTTCAAACTCTGCAGAACTTTGTCCTTGAGCCAAGGAGCAAACCATATCAGCACCAGCTTGGAGATCTCGTTCCTTGGTTTGTAGGAATGTCAAATGGGGTGAACGAGGTTCTTTCAACGGCAAGGCTCGTATCCACTGAGACGTCGCCTTGCCAATCGGCCAGGCCAGTGGCAGCCAGGGCGTCTGTCATTGTCCGGGTGTTCGCCTCAATGGGGCCGCAGGGAGACGCAAATCAAACCTTTCAACTCTCGAAAGCGGACTCCGTAGGCGGTTCTCACGTTCAGAAGGAGTTTTGTTCACCCAAACAGCCTGCTTCCGAAACATCTCCGCCCCTTTTCCCCAGTTTTTTTCAATGGGGGAGGCTTTCGAGAAAAAGACAACCCGCAGAAGAGGGAAATTGTGTTTTGCCCGGCCTGTTCCACGACAAGCCGCACGTGTGTTCGAACCATTTGGCACGCCTTGTCTTGGAACCTAGCGCGCTTCAGCGATTGTCAGCCCCCAACCGAAGACTCCAGAAACAACAGGCAAGAGTTGCCACTGGATTTTCTTGGCTTTCTCTTCCTCAAGCTTCTTGAGGTCCACAGTTTCGTCCTGGCCCTTCTTCTTGACGGCGGCCGTGGAGGCCGGGAGAACCTCGGCGATGGAGCTGCGCACAGGGGGTGGGGGTCAGGGAAGCCTGGCCTGCAAGTGGTCGTGAGCGCTGCCCGTGTCAGCGGTTTCTTCCAGGTCTGTCGTCTTCTTGGCCGGCGTGTCCTCGTCGGCAGAGTCCTTCGCAAAAAAAAACTTACAAAGCCGGGGCAAATTCTAGACTTGACCTTGGTTGCTTTTTCTTTCGCGGACTTCGCTTCTTCTTCTTTGGCGTATTGCCTATGCAAAGTTAGCTTTTGACCATCAGTGGTGCTACAGAAGCTAAGCCCCTGACGTTTGGACTTCATTCACCCTGGCTTTGATCTCTGAGTTTTCCAGCCAGTCCGAAGCCTGGGGCAGACTGCGAGGCACTCGCCAAAATACATGAAGGACCCAGCGCCTGCTTCCGGTGGCGCACCAAGTTCTTAAAGGTTGCAAGGAAAGTATCGGAGAAGATGCAGTCCTGCAATCAAGGCAGTCTGCGTTTTCGAAGTTAAGCTGGTGTTCCTGCCTCAAGCAAGCCCCAGAACATCTCAGCGCTCAAAGGCCAGCCTTGCAAAACTGCAAAAAGCAGTTGTTAGACGACTACTTTCCAAGTTGTATTTTAACCCCCCCCCCCCCAATGTGGAGGCAAATGAGCTGAAAATTGCAGACCATTGACCTTGCGGCAATCACTTGTGTCAGCAATATTGGCTCCCCTTTTTCTACCATTAGAGTTTCTACTCGCCATAGAAAAAGAGCTCACTGCACTCGCTCCGGTGTACACATTACAATCCATATACCAGGGACTTCCAGTACAATTGAATCCATCAGACACCGGGTTCTTATCAGAAACAGATCCAGGGCCATAGAGACTGCTACCACAGTGGGTATCTTCTCCTCAGAGATTTGTTGCCCCCGGTACAGGACTAAGCAGGCGGGGGCGGGGGCAAGTTTCAGCACTTACGTTTAGTCCTGTTTGCTGCAACCGAATTTTCATCCCATGGGCCAACCTCCCTTTCCGACCCACCGAAAGTCCGCAGAGGCCGTGAGCCAAGGCGAAACGCAGTAACAACAAACCAAGCTTTTGAGGATCAACCCACGAAAGTCCGCAGAGTCGCCGCAGAGGGTTCACCTCGATGTTTGCGCAGTAGAGCGAGCGGTGTCAACGGCTTGGCCCTAGTTGAGCCCTTTCCTTTTTAAAACACTAACTCCTTCAAAACGCAACACAGCGATTTCAACAGCATCTGCGCTGCGCATGTTGTCCAACATCGCCGGACGGGGGAAGGTTGATGCGCGACCAACAACTATTATAATATGGGCTCTGCAAACACACTGTCGCAACGAGACGCCTATGTACGCAATGCCTATGCGCGCGCGCAAGCTCAGGCACACGTCATAGCTTGCATAAACCCCCCCTTTGATCCCCCCCTTCCAAATCAAGATCAAATTAAGAGGACTAAAATTAATTAGTACTAAGGCCTTATTATGGCCTTTCATTTGGCCCCAAGATTAACTAGGAATTACTTGTGAAATAATTAAGGCCGAATTTCGGTTTCCTGTTTGCGCACCAATGACTCAAAGCCAATCCAAGCCAACAATGCAATCGTGCTAAATGAAAACACAATGTCCTGATTTACTGGCGCGTGCCTACTGAAATCAAGCCAAGCTATTGTAAATCAAAATTAAGGCCAAATTAAGGCCAAATTAGCGCAAATGCCTTTAAGATTTGGTTTCAACGCCTGCAAAACAAGGCCAAAATCCACCCAAGTAAAAATGCAGCAAACATATAGCACGAAATAAGGCAGACGCAAGGCAAGCGTAAAGGCCAATTCAAGGGAACACTGAAAGTGCGCTTAGGGAATTTGAAGAAGCAGAAATGAAAGCCAAACTGAAGCAGAAATGAAATCCAATCGGCGGGCGGGTTGGCTACCGAGCGCCGATGGCTTCAGGCATGTCGCTTGAAAAATTAGCCCCTAATAAGCCCTAATCAGCCCTTATTTCTTTGGGGGGGGTTCAAGGGGGTGGTGGTTTGGAAACTATGAACACGCGTCAAAGAAACGCAACTCAGTCTTCCAGCACTGAAAAAGTTCTGTGTGATAATCTGTTTCCAAAACAACCACGGCTTCCATCTAAGGAAGCAAGTTCCGTTCAGATTCCACTGGCACCGCAAATGAACGTCACTTTCCCAAAGAGCGGCAAAGGCCAATAAACCCTCTCTACAAAGGGAGCGGGCTTCCAACTTCCAATGTTTGTCAAATTAGGTTGCCTGCGCGCCACGTGAGGTCCACTGACTTGTCAGCCTTGTACCCGCAGTACCTAAGTACAGCTAGGTGTGGAACTGGACTGTAAGGCCCTTTTCAGTAAAGCCAAGCAGCTCGCGAAAGGCTGTGTGGCTATCAGAGACTTCCTTCATTTTCGCAAGAACTCCGTTTGGCCAGGTGAGCTGCCTGAGCCGAAGCCCACAATGAGGCGCAAGCAGTTTTTTCGGGGGTGGGGGGGGGGTAAACCAACCTTGCCAAAACCAGACAAAGAGCCGGGTCCCTGATTAGAGTCAAACCCTTTCGGCCCCCTGTTCTTCGGTCAAGAAGTGCCCTGTCATTGTTTCCAAAACGCATGGGTCCTTTGAATTGATTTAACCGATGTCAAGCCACTGGGCGACCTCAGTGAAGAGATGGTCTCGGAGGATAAGCAACCCAAGAAGGACATCAACAGTGCCCTTTCCATTCAGCAGCTTATCGAAGGCTCGGTAGGTCAACATCTCTGCGGGGAGATGCTTGTTCTTGAATCCATCGAAGACTGCGAACATCACCCAACTCAAGTTGGATTGCGTGCGGGACTTGGAAACTATGGTTTGCAGCTTCGTCCAGGAATCGAACGGGTTGCCGGGTTCTTCGTCTGCCTTCAGAAGTAGGTTCAGCAGGCGATCGTCCGAAAAGACCCTCTTTCCGAGCGTAACCGCTGTGTCGACGAAAGAGTCGGAGACCTAAGGAAATTACGCGTGGAACATCCAAGGGAAACAGCTTGTGCAAACCAATTTAAAAAGCCGGGGCGCTTTTTCCTCGTCGTTCGCTGCTCGGAAGTGCGGCGTGTACTGAGCAAGGAAGGTCTCAGTTCCTAAAGGCAAGTAAAGCTTGAGGTCACAGGCGCGGGTCGCAGAAGATTCAACTAACTCTTCAGGAAAGAGTCCCAGGGGGCCATGTGTTTTTTCAAGCCTGGTCTTGCAGTTCAGCACTGAGAACATTTTTTGCAGCGTTGTGAAGACCATGGTGTCGCGGTCGACACGGAGGTTCTGACGGAAGTTCATAGCCAAGAAGTACAGTTCGGACTCGTTGCTGCATATCTTGTACTCCACTTTGACCTCGGTTTTTAACCCAACATAGATAAGTCACAAAGGGGACAAGTAAGGTGAGGCGAGCCGCGCTCCGAGAGAAATCTCGCCACTTGGCAAGCTTTTCGTCGTCATCGCTATCCCTAACCATGCTCCTCAGTTGCACCGCGATAAAATGAGCACCCGAACCTGAGTGATCGTCATTGTTGATTTTGTGGGACCCGACATGAACAGTCAAACCGAGCAGCAAGATAAACGCCATCATGTTCTCGAGCGGGCTGACAGGCTTAACTGCGTTTGGGCTCATTCCAGTCGAAAGCCAATCCTTGGGAATAGCAAGCTGCAGGACTCCGTGGTACGGAGCTGGCTGGCTGTAGTAGCGCTCACTCAACTTGTCGATCGAGTTGTGCCGCAAGGGAACCTAGGCGAGCGGGGCTTCCCCAAAAAGAACAGCCTGAAATTAGGGCCCTAACTCGGGGGTCCGGGTTGAAGGTCATGTCGCACTTCCAAACACTTTGGGAACAAGTGAAGCCACACTCGTCGTCCGTGCTGGCGTGTGCTGTCGCTTCCAGGCAGGTCTTGCAGTCGTTCAAGTTGAAGGGAGCCTTTGCAGGCCGGGCAGGTTGAGTCACAGTGTGGTTACTCGGGCTCATTCGACAGGGTCCTCCCACAAACTCCAATACTGGAACCTGTTTCTGGACCCCCTCTTTGAAATTAGGAGGCTGAGTTCTGAGCCAGTTTGGCCCCTTCAGCAAGAGTCAGCGGGTTCTCGTCCGCGATTCCAGGCCATTTTTCCTAGAGTCGCTTGGAGAAGTGGAAGGGCTTAAAACATCTCAAGGCACCAACCCTGTAAGTCAAAGACTGTTAGAACCTGGATGCCAGCTTCAAGGGCCCCGCGAAGGGCACTGTTGTGGCCAGCTCCTGCTTGAGCAGAATTTGCTGTTTTTTGCTTGTCAATGTTTATTCCGGCCTGACGCTGCAGTGTTCTCGGCGTCAAGCCCTGGGGTCAAGGACCCCGCCTTTCTCCGTTTCGCAGGCATGGCTTGAACCTTCTCAAGCTTGGGCCTGAAAAGTCACAGAGGGAAGTCGAGTCATGTTTCCTTGCTGTTGCTGGTAGCGCAATTTCGCAAGGCGCAGGTGGCAGTGACTGACGGACAAAACTCCCCCGCGACAGTCGCTGGCGCCGGCGAATGTCGAGAGAGACCGCCCAAAAATATTAAAAATATCGGAAATTCAAATTCAGTAGTCGGTCTTAAGCAAATCACCGTCGAGAAGGGGGGGCCGCGGCGGCCCTCCCCTCTCATCAGTCCCAGGCGCCGGCGACCGTCGAGAGCCCCTCTGCGACTTCGTTAGGACCACACCTCAAAAAATAGCAGTGGTTCTCGACAGTCCAAAGTCCACGCCCCATCGTTCTCCGGGGGGGGGCTCTCGACAGTCACAGGCGCCGGCGATCGTCGAGAGCTGAGGGCCTATTCGGCCCCCCCCTCTCGACAGCGATTTGCTTAAGACCACCTTGCTCTCTTGAATTTTGGAACTTTTAATTCCGAGGGCTCTCAGCAGTCACAGGCGCCGGCGATTGTCAAGAACCCGGGCTCTCGACAGTCACAGGCGCCGGCGATTGTCGAGAACCTGGGCTCTCGACAGTCACAGGCGCCGGCGACTGTCGAGAACCTGGGCTCTCGACAGTCACAGGCGCCGGCGATTGTCGAGAACCTGGGCTCTCCACAGTGACAGGCGCCGGCGAACTGACCTGGGCTCAGCAGTCACAGGCGCCGGCGACTGTCGAGAACCTGGGCTCTCGACAGTCACAGGCGCCGGCGATTGTTGAGAACCTGGGCTCTCCACAGTCACAGGCGCCGGCGAACTGTCGAGAACCTGGGCTCAGCAGTCACAGGCGCCGGCGACTGTCGAGAACCTGGGCTCTCGACAGTCACAGGCGCCGGCGATTGTCAAGAACCTGGGCTCTCGACAGTCACAAACGCCGGCGAACTGTCGAGAGCCTAGGCTCTCAGCAGTCACAGGGGCCGGCGACTATCGAGAGCCCCTCTCGACAGTCACAGGCGCCGGCGATTGTCAAGAACCTGGGCTCTCGACAGTCACAAACGCCGGCGAACTGTCGAGAGCCTAGGCTCTCAGCAGTCACAGGGGCCGGCGACTATCGAGAGCCCCTCTCGACAGTCACAGGCGCCGGCGAACTGTCGAGAACCTGAGCTCTCGACACCTTCACAGCTGTTCGGCCGCAATTTGCAGGGCGATTCTGCCACGACCGCATGTGCAACTTTTTCACGGCCATTTTGACTTTCGGGGTCATATCGCATTTTACACGGATCTCCACGGTCAAGTATAACGGATTTTTCACGTTCTCGCGGATTTCCACGGCCTTTCACAGCATGCGCTGGCAGACACGGTTGACGAATTGTATTTTCACGGCTTCACGCCCAAACGCCGGCGAACTGTTGAGAACCTGGGCTCGCGACAGTCGCAGGCGCCGGCGACCAGAGAAAGCCTCTAAGTTGTGGAAGCTGGCAAGTGTGGGGAAGTCACTGCACTTTCAACCTCGAAATCGCGACCTGTAGTACAAGTGTAGCACACAAAGTACATCTTGGCAGCTCCAGATTGAAAATCGCAACCTTTCAGTGCAAGTTTGGTACGCGAAGTACACCTTGGCAGCTCCATCTCGAAACTCAACCTATTTCAGTACAAGTGCAGGACGCGAAGTAATGTGCAAAACGTTATCGTTTTTGTTCAATCGTTTCGTTTTTCATCGTTTTTGGTCAGCTACCAGTTTGCTGCCCAACAACCTGTGACAAACCATCGTTATCAATTTGTTAAGCTCCTTTTCGTTTCGCAGCGAGCTGTGCCATTTTTGGACACGAAAAGCCTCCGAATACTTAGACTACCGTGGACAACCTCACACTTGCAGCCCTCGAAAAAACGTGGCACGCCTTGTGTGGATCGTCCGAAGTAAAGTAATTGTCGCATGGCGTTTAGGGTAACACCACTAAGTCCAGTCAGAGAATGGCAGTCTGCCTTGTTTCTTTTTGGCCACGGCCCCCCTGTCATGTCGCACGTGTGTGTTTACACGTGATCCCGGCTGTACAGCTAAGCTTGTCGCTATCACACCCCACAAGCTCCCCGCTTAATTAACTTTCGGCCGTCCACGAGAAGAAACAAGTCCAGCGCGTTCTCCAAGGTCACCTTGAGTAGGAGGGGCTTCAAGTCCTGAATCAGCCAAAAAATGTGTTTTCACGATTGCTCGCCATATTTGCTTCCCAGGCGCTGGGTCTTCCTTTTGCTCGGTCTTGGTGACGAAGGCCACAGCGTTTCGTCGGTTCGAAGGCTTCGCACTGCGCTCCTTCGCAATCGGGAAGGCATTGCCTGCTTTGATCCTGGTGCAGATAAGGGCCGGGCAAGGAACCGCTTCTTTTCCAAGCACGGCTTCCAAATGGAAGGGCACGCGTGAAGGGAAAGGGCGGGGCCAGGGTGAGCTTCCTGAAACCCGGGGCTGACCCAGAAGTAGCGAGGCGTTCGCATCTGCCTCGGGTAGGCGCTGGCAAACACCAGCACCGAATAGGACTTGGAGCCAAGCTGCCGGTAAGTGAGGAACACGCCGCGGGAACCCTTGCTCTCAAAGAACGCCGGGCTTGCCATAGACCTAGGCTAAAGGACCACACAGACACTTTTTTGTTCGCAACAACCCGGTTTGTGAAAAGCAAGCTGCCTCGATGGAAAGGCTGTTGTTGTTTTGTTTTTTCTCTTGGGCAAACATGTTTAGATCCAGTTCCCACGAGGTAACAGTAGCAAAGGACTCTTTATTTTCTGTGTGTGAACAAGGTCATTGACCACAGGGCCTGTTTTTTGTGTCTGCAGACGCAGGCGTGGGCTGTGCCGGGTCTCTCTGGATAATAGTGTTGGCCACCTGCCTCAGGCAAGGGATGGATTTGTAAAACATGGACGGGACAATAAATGGCCAAGTGACAGGCCGGCAGCCATTCTAGAACCACAGGCTTGGACGGCAGCTCTCAGCTCCACAGTCTGCAGCTGGTGGGGCGCGAACGCCACCAAGTTCTCAAAGACAACTGGCTCTTTGCAACCTCAAGGGGACAACATTGCACCCGGAAGATTTGGGGAGAATATCCAAGGTTCGAGCCCTCCACTGCAAGGTCTCCTTAGGTTCAGTCGCCATGTGACTCTTGTAAATTTCCCAAGGCGGCTGGTTACGCGCATAAACTTAATGCCGTGACTCGTTTTTTCACAGACTTCAGGTAGTCCGTTCGGCGTTTTTTCTCGGATTCTTCACTCTTCTTGGCAGCTTCCTCCAAGCTGCGCTTTGCTGGCAAAAGGCCATCCTTGAAGGCACACACTCCTTAGTTACAAAATGTGGCGCAACAAAAGACCGACTTCGGCGAAATGAGGGGGCAGTTACTGCGTTTTAGCCAGAAATCGGCGAACCATCTCCTTTTTGCGGTTGAAGTGAACCTCTTTCTGGTGCCCCTCTGTCCATAGTTGCTTGGCGACCTTTCCAATTCGGACCTTGGCCACGGTGTCCACAGGCCCGTGGGCGACAGCCGCGGCCACCGAGCAGCGGCGCCTTCGAAGCCACGCTGCTGCGCTGCTGAAGGCACAGTTTTTCTTGGATGAGCGCCGGTCGGCCATGGCCAGGCGCTTGGTGGACTCAGTGGAAGGAAAGCTAACGACTTAAACGCAGGTAAACAAAACTCGCTTGAAACTCTACTAAATGTCTAAGGCCAGAACTAGGCGAGAGATTCCGTAAGACTTCGCCTTGGATGGCAGAATTGTTTGACACGTTCGTGCTCAATGGCCGCTTGCCAAGTCACAAACTCCTCCTGCGCTACAAGCACTAACCTCAGGCAAGGGAGAAAGGAGGTCCGAGAATCCTGGCTGACACAGCAATGCGGCCAAAGAGCTTATCCACGCCCTCCTTGGGCCACGCCAGAGCTCGCACTTCATCGTTTGAGAGAGCCTCCGAGAGCATCCTTTTCTTGGTGAGCCATTGTCCTTTGGGAAACCTCAGTAGTAGCAGCCCAACCAACGCCAACACGTGCGGACACATCATCGACAAATGTGACAACTCACCCACCCAGCCACCACCTACCCACCACACAATCAATGTAACACTGAGCAAGCAAACAACCAACGAATGAACAAAAGAATAAACGAGCCAGCCAGCCAACCAACCAACCAACCAGCCCTCAGCCCACCACAGAAACCTTTAGATGCACAGACGCGCAAGCAAGCAAGCAA